AACAACAACAACATATATCTTCAGATATCTGAAATGTCATACCTGAAATATTCTTGAAAGAAACAGTGCATTATCAACAATACTTTCCTAGGAAAATAATTTATTGAGTGATTTTTCCACAGATAAAATAATGGATCCTAAATAACTATAATAAGTGCAGAAAACGAGGGGGGAAAAGAAAGGTGAACCAGGGAGCAAAGCTTGCTTGCTTTGGATCTCGTCTTAAGAGAGTGGTTGTCCTTGGCAGTTGTCAGTAAAACTCTTTTGTCCTGGAAGCTCTTGCCAGTTGACCGAACCTGCCATCTAAAGACAGAAGACTTGACATTCCCAAGACCTTGGTGAAACCTGAAACCTTTCATTTTTTTCAGTCTCAGTTATCCATCTTATTTTTTTTTATTGTTACTGGAAATTAGTTTGTAATTTTATTTAGGAGTTTGAGAACACAAAAGTATAATTAAAGGTCAGAAGATTCACAACCTCTGGTTATTAGAATGCCTCACCTCCTTGACATTATTAATTTCTAACAGACTGTGCATAAAGCAGTTCAGGGCCTGAACTGCTGATAGATCTAAGGGTTTTACTCTTAATCATAAGGTAAGAAATTTGCTTGCCACTTTTATAAATGCTAACAATAGGGGCAAGGCTTCTTGATTAAAGACTCGGGATTTTTCTGTACCAGAAAAACTACTCTGTAAGAGAATCATGTCAGTTTGTCACATTTGTTTATGTCAGTTCCCCATGAGCCCTGTGTCCCATAGGGATGACAGCCTCCTGGCGGATTTCTGTATATGATGTGTGTTATGCCACAGGAAAGGTGCACTCAACTTGCAGAATCTACTACTTTTATATAAGTTGAAGCAACATCATCAATATTGAATACTCAATCTTCAGAAATGGCCTTAAGGAAGGGCAATGAGGATCCATGGCAGATTGCCTCCTCAGGCACTGACACCACAGATTCAACCTGCACAGGTTCTGTGGCCACCATTTTATAGCCTCATTGAACCAGTAGTATTTCTAGCTTGAAACATACTGATCCAAGTACAGCATAGCTCTGAAGGTACAATAGTTAGCATTTGCTATTACTGTTACTGTCATATAGTTTCTGGGTTTACTATTAATAAACCATTATGTCAGGGTTAGAAAACCAACAAAACTAAACCTATTGAGCTGAGTGGATGCCAACTCCTCCTGACCCTGTAGGATGGAGTACAGCTTCCCATCAGTTTTCATAGGCTGTGAATTCTTATAGAAGTAAGTGAACGACAACATCTAGAGCTGCTGGTAGGCTTGGAACTACCAACTTTTCAGTTAGCAACTGAGTGATTTAACACTGTGCCACCAGGATTCAAGTCAGGATTTCTGGAGTGAAAAATTGAAACAATTCCTTGATTTACAAAGTTGTTGTTAAGTTCTATTGAGTTGTAGACAACTCATAGCTACCCTGTGAATGAAAGACCTGAGCATTTATATAACTTTGGTCATTTTTCCATGTTCATAGAGTTTCTGGAGACAAGCCATTTTCAAAGTGGATGCCACTCCTGCTTCCAAGATTTACAAAGTAGCAGTGTAAAAATTGTAATTTAATCAGTAGGATTAAAATTTGTTCCAGTTCCTTTGTCCATTTGTTGATATATTGATATATTGGTTTAGGACTCCTGTACTACATCTGTTTTCAGAGTTAAATTGATGACTAGCATGTAAATAGTGACTCTGCTACTGTTCCTGGCTTTACTGCTTAGCAGAGCTGTGATCTGTTCCAGATTTTCCATAGAAAAGTATCTGGATCATGAA